CAGTTCCCCTTTCCCCCCAGATGGCCTGGGAGGTGGCCTCTTCAAGGATGACCCTGCTGGAACCATGGGACCCCAACTACGAGGCTACAGCAGGACCTCAGCTGGCATGGGTAAGAGGCACCTATGGCTATGGTCTCGGGATGGGACAAGGATGCTCTGGGAGGAGGCTGAAACTCCAGTGATCTTTCCTGTCCCTGCACAGCGGCCCAGCTGTGCTTCCGGTGCCTCCTTCTCAGGCCGCACTTTGTGTCATCCTTCCTTCTGGCCGCTGTATGAGGCAGCCTCAGGCAGGGACTGCAGACCACTTACTTCTGCAACAGTACATGAGAATGGTGAGCAGGCGCCCAGGGATGCAGGTAACTTCTCTTGGTCCCCTCAGGCTCTCAGGACTAATGCTTCATGAGCTCCTCAGGGAACCAGTGCAGAGCTCCATGGGATGGGAAGCGCAGCCTATCATCCTAACAGCTTTTTCTCCCCAGGGTTCCCGGTGATGTGCTATGAAGATGTCTTTCTTTCAGACCCTCTGCTGCCACCTGGGCAGCGTGTTCCCCTCTATCTGTCTGAGGCCCCTCAGCAGGTGAGCACTTTTTCTGTCCTGGCCTCATCTCAGCCTTCATGCAGGGCTTGGGAGGAGACACTTCCCCCTCCTCTCTCCTCAGGTGATGGGATCTCTGAAGCTGCTGCTCCCGCCCCCTATCATGTCCCACCAGGTCAGCCCCACACGATCCCCTGGCTGCTGCACCGCCTGGCTCAGTGGGCCTGAGCTGATCGCCCTCACTGGCCTCCTACAGATGAGCCAGGGGGAGCCAAGACCTAGCTCCACGGGTTCCTTGGCAGCTTCCATGCCCCCTTCTGGTCCCCCAGACCCTGTCTCTGGTCACCCAGGCCCCAGTGGTGACCCGAGCTGTTCTCACTGCACTGACCCATCTTTCCCATGGACCCCAGACACCAGTTGTCCTTAGCACCTCTGGGGCATCATGGGCTCCCTACTCTTTCAGGTGGTTAAATTGACAATAAAACAGTGTTGGTTTGCAAACAGGCTCCTTGTGGTGAGTAGCAGAATGGGGCATCCAGGCAGGGATGGAGGTCTCTTCCTCCATGACAGCTTTGGCTGCCCTCCCCTCAAGTTCTTTTTACTCATTGGCCACCTCCTACAGAGGGTAGGGGAATACATGGGTCTAATACCTTTTCAGGCTGACCAAGAAAGTCACCTTTAATAAGGGAGCCAGCCCACAGTACAGTTCCCTAGACTGAGTATATAAGAAGCAAAGATTCCATCAGCTCTGCCAGGCCTGGGAAAGGGAGGATTGTGTAAGCATGTGGCTGACATTGGGAGAGGTAAACTAGGGAGTAAGGGGGTGGCACATCACTTTTGGGGACAGTAAAGGTAAGATACCTGGTGTTTTCATCCTTTTTGTGCTGAGGTCCCAGAAGTTCAGCCTTGGAGCTGGGGGTTAGTTCTTTGGCTTGTTGGAGACAGAGGCAGGCACTGCAGGTGTGTGTGTTGGGGGTGGGGACAGGTCTTCGTGGGAGTCCTCATCAGAGGCAGGGTAGCAGCAAAGGTTGAACTGAGACTCTGGACTGATACTGTATAACTTTGCAGGGGAACAGATATCAGTGCTTTGGCTGAGAATGCTCAGAAGTTTGTAGGATTTTTTTGGAGGTGGGTTGTTCTAGAATTTTCTCTCTTAAAAGATTCCAACTTCTTGGGGAAACCTCCTCCTGAAGATTTCCCACAGCTGGAAGGGGCAGAATGGGCAGCAGGCCCTAAAGGGCAGTTCAACACCTCTGTAGGTCACCCATCCTTGGGGGTGTCTGGGCCTTAGAACACCTCAGTTGTGGGAACAGGTGGAAATGCATTCCTGACGTTGCTATTTTCTCTCCCCCACCTTATGGTCCATCTGTCAGCTAGACATGGTGGGCTCTCACCCTTGCCTCCAGAATTGGCTCTGGAACTCGATTGGGGTAACTGTAGGGGTAGTGTGTGCTGGCCTTGGGGATGTTGCCTTGTGCTTCCAGAGGAGGGACCAGGTCCAGGTCAACTAGTTGAGGTGGCTGGCTGGGGGGTCCAGTATGGCAGTGTCCATTGCTAAGTTGTCCGGGGCAATGTACTCATTGCACACTTAGTCCCCAGCCAGCTTGGACAGTGGCTGTAAGCAGAGCTGATCCCCTGCTGCTCTCCAGCTCTCCCCAATGCTGGATGGGGGCCTTAGAGCCCGTGTCTTGGCTTCCTGGCCCCTGGCTTGTAGGAACGGGTTAGGGAGCTTGAGGAAGAGGACCCTGGTGGAAAATAGCTCATGGGCACTTAGTGTTCTCCCAATACTACAGTGACTACCAGGGTGCAGCATTGGCAGCAGCAAGAAGGCGAGGGGGGAGGGGATCCCTTGGCAGTGGCTTAGCCCTGCCATAGGCACCACCATCCCTAAGTCACTTCATGGAGGCCAGGAGAGTCTCGTGAATGCTTTGGGCCACCATGGCACCTAGCACTTGTAGCCACAGATCCCAGGGACAGGTGGGCACCTGAGCCACTGAGTTCTAGAGAGCAGGAGTCTGCGTGGCTGCAGTGGTACATACTGAGCAAGGACAGGAGCAGGGCCCAAGGTGGCGATGCCAAGGTTTCCCCGGAATCTCTGCCCCTGGGCTTCCAAAGCAGGCTCAGTACCCAGGCACAGGCGGTAGCCGCAGATGCCCAGGGTCAGGTCTGCCCCAGCCCCTTGGGCCACAGTGGCATAGGCCAGACATCCTGAAATAGAGTGAGGATCCAGGTCCCGGGGTCCTCATGGGAACTTTGACCTGGAAGGACAATTGTATGGTCACAGGAGGCACCTGGGTGGGGAGGTTGGAGTCAGTGTGCCCCGAGAACTGATAAAGCGTAAATGCTTAATGTTTGAACTTGATTTTGTTGACCTAGGGGAGGAAGAGGCTATGGATATACCAAATCCATGGCCATGAATCCCTGGCCCCCATACCCTCTCTGCCCACCCGTAACTTGGGCCTCAGGGGCTGCCGCCCTCCAGGAGGGCGCTGTACCACCTTGCAGCTCTACCTCGCTGGTCACCAACACACCCAGGCTGCGGTCACGCGTGTAGAGGTAATCAAGTGGCCCTGGTGGGAGTCAGTGTGCTTGCTGATGGTGCACTGCCAGGCTCACGCTGAGCTTGGGTGGTGTTCCACCAGTGCGAAACTTTCTCGTTCTGGTAACACTCGAGGCTTGGCAGGTCTACACGGAGCACAGAGAGGTGGCACTGGGGCTTATGCTTCCGCAAGTTGCTGCGGAGCCGTGGTGGACCCAGGTGCATGTTGACCAACTTTGACTCTGGTGTTGGGGTGTTGCCACGGGGTCACCACCTCTGAGATTCATTCTGGCCACAGGCAATAAAGTGGCCAGAGGAGGAGGGGCTGAGATGGCTGGGGGAAGGCCATTAGAAGTGGGATAGAGGTGGCTACTACCTGTCTTGATGCCCAGTGTCTTTCTCCTACTCCCATCTTGAAGTTTAGGGCAGGGGGTCTGCAGTGTCCCCTCGCTGCATGCAGTATGTGCCCCAGTGGCTGCTGGATGACCAGGACACCTGGGTCTCCCCATCCTTCTCTTCCCTCCTGCTCTCCAACTCCCCTCCCCCCAAGGTTAAAGCTCACAGGCCCTGGGAGCTGGACGTTTGCCCAGTGGTGGAGGTGGAGTTTGAGTCGCAGGCTCCACCCCAGGCCGCTGGGACTGGTCTTTGGCAGGGGAGGGGAGCTTGGGGGTGTCTCTGTTGATTTGAGCTGACTGCTGAGAAAGTGACCACGTGAGGCGAATGTGAATGGAACATTGAACTGTGTCCGCAGTGATTGTGCTGGCAGGCACATCTGCAGTTTTGTATCACCCGCAGCTGAGCCCAGCCACCCTTACAGCAGGACCCTCTTCTGGTTCTAGCCTTCCAATACTCTTCCCACTCAGGAACTGCTTCAACAGGCCCATGGTGGCATTTTTGGACGGTGGTGAGAAGGGGCTGAGGGTAATGGGGCAGCATGGAAATGCCCCTGAGAGATGGTCTTTTCCTCCATAGGATCTCCTTTGGTGGTCTCTGATCACAGTACAGACTCTCTGGTGGGGGTACTCTTTGCCCTTTGCTTCTTGAGAGGTTTGAGATGGGGTTGGAATTCAGACATTATTTTAATTAATTTTAGATGAAGGAAGAGAAGCATTGACTTGTTGCTCCACATATTCATGCATTCATTGGTTGATTCTTATATGTGCCCTGACTGGGGATCAAACCCACAACCTTGGTGTATCGGAGGGCACTCTAACCGGCTGAGCTACCCGGCCAGGGCTAGAATTCAAACATTTTAATACCCCATTTCTGATCTTCTATGGACCAACTCACTTGGGGGAAAATGGCACTGGTCAGTGCACACTCTACAAGACAAACCAGCAGTGGACTGATGGGGGCCTTAGAGGACCTCATGCTATCACTCTCATGGCAAGTAAGATACCTAAAGGGGGGAGCTGAGAGCAGGGGAGAGGAAGAGGGCAATGTGTAGCCACCACAAGATGGTGTTTGGGGAGGAGCACAGCCAGGTAAAGGAGATGCAACAAGAGTACTGAAGCAAGGGAACCTGATTCTTTTTCTGACTAGTCCAAGGGCCAGGACAGCCTGAGCAGGGAGAGTAGAGCTGCTCCATTTCCCAGGCCTGGAATACTGGAGGAGCCAAAGGTGCAGTGTGCGTGGAAGCTATCCTTGAACGCCCTGTCACGCATGATGCTGAGTGGGATATGGGAGCCAACCAGCATCCTGAGGGTGGGCATCCAGCCAGCAGGCACGCTATGCCTAGGCCCACTTCCAAGTGCCCCCCAGTCAGCCAAAGCCCCATCAAGGTGCAGGAGAAGTGCTAGCAGCTCAGGTGGTGCACTGGGGACAGTGGTAGCAGCCACTATTGGTTGGTGTTGGCCAGGGAGAGGCAGGTATGTGGATCCATAAGTAGCCACCAAAACAGTATGTTCAGGGCCACAGTGTGGCCTTCATCTATGTACCATATGCCAATGTGCAAAGTGGCTGGGACACAAAAGCCATCTCCAGGCCCCTCCCCTTCCCAGTCTGGGTGCTGCCTTGAAGAGCAGGGTACCCACAGGGCACACATACCTGCTGTGGCCTGGAGCCTTACTCCCCAGGCTTGATTTGAAGTTACCCACGGGAGGGTCTTGTCATACCTACTCCTTTCCACTCCCCATCAACCAAGCCACCTTGCAGCACCCCAGTCCTGTGAAATAACAGCTGCTGTCACAAAGTGCAGCTCCAGATCACCTTAAGCTTAAGTGCTGCGTAGACAAAGCAGAAAGCAGCAGGGATCCTAGTGCCTGGGTTCTGGGCAAGTAGCAGTGGTAGATGGGTTGGTAATCAGTGCCAGGTGATTTAGCCTGCTGGTACCAGGAAAAGCCTGGAGCCAAACTGGCCTAATCAGTTGCCCTAGCAACACTGCCCTTGTCCTTACCAGACAAGATTTATTCTAGCCTGTTGCCCTGGTAACTTGAGTTGCTCCCCAGGGACAGGAAATGGCAGAACCTTAGCTCTGCTGGGTGAGAACACTTCTCCCAACTAGAGGGGTCCACCTGTACATCACCCTGCCAGGTGCAGGGCAGCTGTGGGATGGTATCTCTCTACATTCTAAGTCCTTATGGAAATATCTTGTTACCCGGGAGAGGAACCTAGAGGGAGGAGGCTGGGGTACTAAGGCCAGGCTGTTCCCATGTGCCCCTCCCTCCTCTATTTGGGTTCCCACTCATCTGTGGAGGGTGATGCAGGGACAGCACCATACATTTAGCCCTTTCCTTTAGCCCTCCCCCACCATGGCTCCAAGGCTCCAATGTGGAAGACAGAAGAGCTCTTCAGAGGTCCTGGGGACCTGCACCTGCTACCTCACCCACAGGTGACCTGCTGAAGGCTGGAACCAAGCCAGAGGATGGTTGTCTGCAGAGCATGGTCACCGCAATGGTCAGGGGGGGACATGAGGACTTGGTCAGAAACGTGGTGGGAGCCTGGGTGAGTCCTTCCAGCCCCATGGTGTGTGCGCAGTGGGGTTCAGATTTGTAACTACCAGGCAGGGCCATGCAGGGATACCCCAGGGGTTAGGGTAGGAAGAACACAGCTCAGTCATTTAGACATTTTCTATCAGGCCAGGGATTTTTCCATTCTTTGCCACTGGCCTGAAGAGAGGAGATGCAGCTGCCAAGAGAGGCAGCTGCAGTCCTAGTCTTGGCTTATGGCTGGGGAACTCTTGATTTTTCTGCCCTGGAATCAGGGGCTGACCCAGTATAACTTCTGACTGGTAACCCAGCTCTGGCCAGTGAGCTTGCTGGAGTCCTTGTCAGACAGAGTGACTGGGAAGCAGGAAGAGGGTACTGCAGGGACGTCCTGGGCCCAGGAGATCCCTGGGAAAAAGTAGGACTGTGACTCAAACATGCAGTAAGAATCACTGCAGCTCCTGGTCCTTTAAATCTCACCTCCAAACTTCAATGTTTTTGGTTAGGAAAGGAGGGGTGGGGGAGCTGGGGAGAAATAAGGCTCCTTCCCCTACTACACAGCAACAGATATCAGCTTCCCCACCCTTCCCTGGCTCTGAGCAGAGAGAATGCCAAACAAAGAGACAGGGCGAAGGATATAGATAATCAAGGGTGACAGAGAAAAATACTAGGAGAAGGGAACAGACAAAACATAATAAATCCAGGGGGAAAAGGATGGTGGTCCACCCTAGGAGATCCCACCAGGAGACAGAAGGAGGGGAGAGGATGGGAGAATGAAAACAGACACAAGACAGCACGGGTGGAAAGCCTGGGAAGCCATCCTTGCTGGGCAGATACCAGCAACTGGAGGTATTTTCAAAAAAAATCTTCAAAGTAAATAAAGTGGTAACCCAATACCTGTCTCCCTGCTGTTATGCCGTTAAAGGTCACTGGGTAGAAAGACCCAGAGAAATCTTATAAATGGCTAAAGGGCCAGGAGTTCTTGGGCAACTTGGAACAGGGGGGAACCTCTTCTGACAGCAAGGCTGAGTCCTGTGCCTCTCCTCAGCCAGGCAAGGTGTTTAACCCAAGCCATCTGTCTTGTCACCAAACAGCCCAGACACCAAGGCTGTGGCCATATCCTCAGGTGGAAACAGTCTGAGGAGGGGCTGAGAATGAACCTGGGAGTGGCCTACTCCCATCTCCCAGCTGGCACCTCCTCTTTTGCCCACCCCCACTATAGCCACCTATCTCCCGTTCCTGGCAGAGACAGGCTTTCTCCCGTTCTGCTCCCTCCGATTGCTAACATGGGACTCCAGTTCAGACAGGGGCTGGCTCTGTGGGCAGTGAGTCCTGTCCTTGGCCAACAGCACGCAGCATCACAGGCAACATGATCACCAACCCAGGCAGTCATGTTGATTGACGTGAGGTCACTCAAGCTGGCCCAAAGCAAGACCATGAGAGCCATTTTTTTTTTCTTTCAAATGTAGTTCTTTTCCAACATTGCCTATAACAGCTTTGGTGCAGAGATTTGGGAGCCGGGGAGGTACATGAAAAAAAGAAAGGAAAAAAGTAGCCACAAAGCCTTTCCCTGGAAATGTCCAGTCTCAGGGGTGGTCAGAACATGTGGCTGCCCTCGCCCCCACCCTCTGGAGCTCTGGCTTTGCTGGTCGAGGCACAGATGGGATTCATCCCATTCCCCATGTAAAAGAACTGTCTTGGAGAGGGAGAAAGACTGTGTGTATGTGTGTGTGTGTATAATAGCTATATTAGAAAATTCTCTCTATGTATAAATATAAAACACTGGTATCCAAACATGACACCACAACTAACTAAAGTGCTTAACAGGAGTTGGACATGTCTAAGTATGTAGGTAAAACTAGTCATTCTGAGTGCCCAGGATGAGGGAGGGAGCTGGGGAAGCAAAAATGTGGAAAAAAAGGTGTGCTGGCCCAAGCCAGGGCACCAAGGGCACTCTGGTCCCCCGGGGCCTTCTCAGCCTGTCTAATCACTATCCCACGTCAACACCACACCTCATCCCCACCTTTACCATACTCCTCCCACTGTGCTTCTGTCCACGAGAACAGTGTTGGAAAGTTGGGCATGAGGAAGAGTTTCCCCAGGGGAACACTGGTCAGCCTGTGCCCATAGCTTCCTCTGCCCATGGGGTTGGGAATGAAGGGAGTACTGTGTATGCTGAGGGCAGGAGAGGAGGAGGATTACTGCCATCGTAATTAATAATTTGAGAAATAAAACACCATTGCTCCTCTAGGCCAGGCCCTGCCTTCTCTCCTGGGCCTCCTGCTTGTGTGGAGGCTGGAAGGAAGAAGGAAGCTGCCCTTTTATATGCAAGCTCCAAGCAAAGCATTAGCACCTCCACCATCTCCAAGACCCTACCCTGCACAGCAAGGCCCACTCTGGGCTCAGACGCACAGAAATGCCACAGGCAAGTGGTCACCAGAGCTCCAGGGAGTAGAAGGACCCCAGAGAGCAGGGAATAGCCCCCCTCCCCAGGGCACAGTGCTACAAGAATGGGTTGGTGGTTGGAGGTTTGGAGGCAAATGGGCTTGGTGAGGATCCAGTCTGGAAAGAAACAACAAGAACCACAAATTGTTAGATTAAAGAAGTAAAGCTGGAAGCCACAGAAGAAATGTAGTTCAGGATTCCTTTCTCCCTCAACATTACTGTGCTGAGGAAAGTGGGAACATGAAGGAGATAAGAGGCAAGTGGAGGGGGTGGGTGTTGGGGGATGGGG